CTATGATATCAAATACTCTTGAAACTTCTAATTCGCTTATCAATGACACAAATTCATACAACCTAAATGGTAAAATTTTTTCCATTGTTATAATTTAGCACATTTTGTTTATTAAAAAAAGCTTCTTTTCTTCTCGCCTAAACCATAAAACAATATCGTTCATTTCTTTTCGAACTGATTAATGTTTTAAATATCTATCAAAATTCGACTCAAATCGCTTCAGATCACGATAAATTGATCCATATCGAAATTAATACAAGACCAACACAATTTGTAAATAGAGACAATGGCTTAGTTCTTCTCAATGTTGGAAAAATCCCTACAGATGCACCAAAAAATTGTTTCATTTCTATAAACAAACTCCGTCTCATTTGCCAAAAAAAAAAATAACCTAGACCACGAGTTGGGTCCGACCGAATCATTAAAAAGTTAACCCAATCTCAAACTCTAACATCTTTGGTTTCTCTATTCTTTCAAATAGATGTATGAAAACATCTCATATTTTTCTACTATTTAGATATGGATAATTCCGAACTAACATCATCAAACATAGCACACGGTGTTAATATTCATTCTCGTCAAATTCAACAAAATAAACGAAATAGTTGTTGCAATGAATATGTCAAACCTCCAAGAACTTATAAAAAGAAAAAATAAACACATTAATACTTATTGTATAATTCAGTTGTTCTATAAATACACAATAACCATTGACATTTTTTCCTTGCAACTCCAATAAATGTTATGTTTGAATTTTCAAATCTGAATTTTTCGTTATACAGTGCCTCCCAAAAATCCTTTCCTAAAAGTTATTTCATTTATGTTCATTATTCGATTTAACCTCATCAAGTGATTTTATACATGATACGTCTATCCATCAAGTTCTATTTTTACACTAGCGAACTTGAAGAGAACCCTTCAAAGATATCACTCCTAACCCAAATACAATAATTTCGTCTATTTTCTGCATGTAGAAAACCATTATCGAACGATTCTTTTTTAATTATTCTGATTTCGTGAATTATTCTAATCTTTCATAATCATTTAATAGATATTCATCTTCCAATGTTCTCATAAGCAGAAATTAAATTTTATTAAGTCTATGAGTTGTAAAGCTCAGAAAATCTATCCAAATCCTCTAAACAGCTCCTTATCGAATTTATCCATTAGTGAGCAGAGAAATATAATAGAGAAATGTCTTGATGTCCTATGCGGTCTGAAAATGACTTTTTACATAATCGTCTCTATCTCTCAAACACATAAACCACCTTTTGAATCATACTAAACTCATTTTCTCAATCAATCGTTGAACCATAACGGTCAATTATTTGATCAAAAAAAACAAAATGAAACAAAACGGAAAAACTTACAAGAAAACAATCCAACAACATCACAGATACCATCATTAAAGAAGCTTACTATTCATACAAATTCAAACAAGCATCCACTGTCGCTCTGATCAAAAATACAAACCAATTTATTGAACAAAGAGACTTCATAATAAACCTTCATCGAGCATTCGACATCGCTACGTCCCCATCATCGAAAACAAAATACAAATTATTTTTAAAGGAGAAACAAATTGGATGAAAGAAATAAAATCTCACCAATCGTCAATGTCCCCATAGTGGACAAAAAAATTCAAATTTTTTTAAGCGAGAGAAAAATTGGATGAAAAAAAAATAAAATCTCACCAACCGTCAATGTCCCCATCATCGAAAACAAAATAGAAAAATTCTTCTAAACGAGACAAAAATTCGATGAAAAAACTAAATTCTCATCAATCATCAATGTCTCGTTCATCGAAACTAGATTCCAAACTCACCTGCCACGTCTATACTCAAACGAACTCAAAATGATTTTTTTGATGCAATAGTATAGTAATTAAAAAAAATAATGAAGAATATGGAAGCCTATATATCAATTGTTTGTTTTAATTTCAACTATGCACAGAGCTAATTTTGACTAGGCAAAATCATACCCAATATTTTCAAAGCAAAAATTTTTATCATCAGTTCAATTTTGCCTGAATACCAAATTTGCCTGACACATTCACATATTAAAAAGTCAGAGAATTGATTATTATTAATCAGTTTTCTAGTTTCATAAGTAACAAATGAATGAGTGTTGATGGAGTATTAGTAAAACAAGAAAATACTACAGACATAATGGTACAATTGTTCATCCTCAACAAGAAAATAAATTATAACGCTTTGACCCTAATGAGAAAAAGCAAGTTGTTCAAAAATACATGAGATATCTAATTCGACTTATAATATAAATTGACTTTCAGAAGTTTGTTATTATTCAGAAAATTAAGTAATAAAATAAAATAAAAATGATAAATAACGAAGAATTTTCTGTAAGTTTAGGAAAAGAAAAAAGAAAAGTTTTTCATTTATGATTTATGATAAAAGTAATAAATAATCAAGACTTCACTGTAATTCATATATTCAAGGAAAATTGATGAACAGAAAAAAACATAGTATAAGGATAAATGAGTTAGCAATGAATCACCAACCCTTGACAAGGTTTATAAAATGATAATAAACGGAAATAAGAATTTATTATTCTACATTTATTGTTTTTTTAACAGTGTAGCCTTACAACTCAAAGACACACATCGAAATTTCCCATAGTATGGAAAAAATAGTGAAAAAAATTATATTTTTGTGTATGTATGAATATAATCAGATCTCCATCTAAACTTGCTATTATTTCAAAATATTTTCGTAATTTCATAGTGTCATTGAATCCTAGTAATAGTCAATATATAACATCTAAAAAGATCCGACAGTTGGATATACTGATTCGATGGTAAGAAATTCTTGGCATGCAAAGAGAGACTGAAATAAAAAGTCGGCTGCTCCTTCAAAAGATCTGTACATGAAAAAAATGAAATTTTTACGAATTCGAGTCTACTTCTGATAAATGCAGCAAAATTGTTGAAATCTAAAACATGCATTTTTCATGTGCCGAATCTTCTTGACGATGTTCTGAAAACAGTCACATCCTTGCATGAGACACAGCTTACTTTTAAACACTTATGTAACATACACCAATGTATAAAGACATGAAACAATATGAACCTACTGCTGCTATAAAAGGCTAGTCTTTATAAGACTAAACAAAGTTTTTCACAATCAAAATAGCCAAGATAAGTTTAGGAATATAAATCTATGAACGTCTTTAAAATAAAAAACCTACCGAAGACCAAACAAAAGTGCAGTGGTTAAAAAAATATATTCCAGGCAGACAAATAACGTAGCACAAATCCTAGAAAGTCACTGTAGGCAATATTTGAAATATAAAATAATTTTAATCTGTAAAAGAAAAATGGGCGAACATTTATTTGGAAAAAAAGAAGAATATGTAAGAAATGAATATAGTATCCTTTAAAAATAATGTCTCGATGAATATTCATTAAGTATTGTGATGATGTTCAGGAACAGAATGAATTTTTTCAATTTTTCCTGCTGAACTAAATGTATAAGTTGTATGGTATATATTATTATTATATGAAACACGAGCTGTTAATGTATTATTGTATTGATCCTCTTGTTGATAATCAAGAATTTTCCATTCAGCCGATGGATGAGCTTGATGTTCCTTTGAATAATATTCTCGTGCTTCGTCAATATTTTTATAAGCGATATTGGAATGTTCAATTTTTTCAACATAATGTTCCAAAACTTTATCAAGATCATTAAGATGATGATCATGGAGTGATTGTACAAATTGTTGAACTATTTTCTTGTGAGTCGCAGGCATTTTTATCAAATTTCACTTTGTTGCGTAAATGATGCAAATATTCTCTACAAACAAAGTTTATCAATATGTATTTATTTTTGTTAACCCCCCTCTAAGATCGTAATACATACGTCTGTATCACATAACGAAGGGAGAGAGAATAAATGGTCGCGTTTCAGATTTCAATTTTCAATTGTTCAATATATTGTATTAAAAAAAACCAAAATATGCCACAAGATACAACCTGAAAAGCCCTGAAATTTACAATACAAAGCTAAGTTTATACATATATATTTCGTTTTTAAAATAGACAAAATTCTATGCGATCGATTTTCGAAGATCTTCTTGTTTCTTTTTTGTCTTAACTGACTTGTTATTATGTAGTTCATATGTGTCTCTAACAAGTAAAATCAAAACTAATGTGGAAACATAATTGCAACACTTATCAATGGTCTAAATTTGGCCATCGATTATGTCTTTTTTATATTATTCATTAAGAAAAGATATTTATCGTATATCAGTAAATGATTTGGTTTTCAGTATCGAAAATTGATCGCAGAGAGTGTTCTCCATTTTAGAAACAAAAAGTGCATATATAAATAAGCCTTACTTTGTAGATTGTAGAGCTTTTCACGCTGCATCTTATGCTATATTTTATTTTTTAAAACGACGTCATCAACGATTGAACATGGAAATATAAAATACGGCTATTTATTTTGATCCATTGTTACTTTTTGATTGAAAAAAAGTCAACTCTCAAAAGGTGAAACATTAGAGCGTATGCACCAGTCGACGATCTTGACGTCGTTCTTACCAGATGCTTGTTTTTTTTGGTTAACAGGCAATATTCTTTTTCTATTCCTTCTGTACAAGATTCGTGTCTGAAAAAACAGATCTTAACTTTCTGCAAGAATCTTGTGGTCAGGAAAGATTCTTGTGTTCTTAAAATTCTTATAGATTCGTTTTTCTCTTGATTTTCTTTGTTGATTCCTTTTAGTTATATAACGTCTATCATTACTTGTTTTTTTTTGAATTTGACATGTTTATCAGAAAAAATTAGTAAATTATACAAATAATTTATTTATATGAAAATAAAGTAAGAAAAAAATATACTTTTTATTTACATTAAAAATATCTAACTATTATTACCAATCGTTTTCTACATATTTATCGTCTGGAATCGATAATAAGAGACATCTTACTAAGCCGTAACCTTGTTTAGGTCGTTATTTCCGTAAATTCTAAAACCAGCTATAGTAAGATTCATTAATGTACAAATAAATTTATATTTACTATTAAACAGTTTCACTCGTGTGATGCTAACATGTGAATCATGTTCTTTGAAAAGAATACTGGTTGTTCCTGTAAGTGAACACTATAAACATTACTTGTCGCTGTTTAAAAATGAATAAATATTCTACGAATGCTGGGATATATAGATAGATAGATAGATAGATGTACACAAAAACATCACGTGATCTGCCTTGAAAATCAAACAAGAATCTTCTCTCCTTTCTGTAAAAACAATCTTGGTTTAACTTTCAGATATTTGAAATATGTTGTAATTTCTTTCAGATTCTTATTTTTCTTGATAGTTAGTCAAAGACTCTTTTAGGGTGTGTGTGAGTGTGGGGTGTGGGTGTGGGTGTGGGTGTTGCTATGCATTCTTTTTTGTTCTAAAAGATTCACACACCCACACCCAGGATATACATGAGCTCCGTATTTTAGCTCGAAAGGAGCTGCGGCAAGAAGCTTTTCTAAATCAAAAGTGAAAAAAGTCGGAATTCATCTTGTCATTTTCAATTTTGTCTATCAGAACTCAACTTTTATGCATTAAACATATTAGATTTATTTTTTAAGCATGTTTATAATTATTTTTACAGAAAGTTTAAATGAATGAATCAAAGTAAAAGAAATTTATTTTCATGATTATGCATAGATTAAAATAATTCAAGAAAGAAAAGTAAATAAGTAATTGCTCATAAAATCAAATGTTGTTTTTTAAATAGTATTCATGTATTTTATAAAAATTCTAACGCCAATTTAGTTGTTGCTGCATCGCTCACTCTTTGAGCAAATTCATCAATAAGTCCGTCGACAGCCGTCAATTCAGTACTAATTTGAACAAATGTTTCTACTAACTGTTTTCCTGTGGAGTTATGATGAAATTGTCCTCCACCGACTGTTGCGATTTTCTTCAGAGTTGCTTTATCAACAGAAGAACCGAATGCAATAGAATGCACTTGAAGACCTCGATGGTGATATTGGTTATAAATTGTAGTCATTTCAGCTGGTCCTCCACTTCCTGCTCCATCTGACATGAACAATAGCACAGGAATATAGCTATCTGCCGAAGTGTTCAATACCCTTAAAGCTTCTTTTAAAGCAGGTGAAAAGTTTGTACCTCGACCACGTAATGGTTGTAATGAAGGAGTTCCACTTGATAAGGCAGATTCTTGACAAATACAGCGGACTTCACTGTCAAACTGTATGACACTAACGATATCATTTGTTGAATGTTGAGCAATTCTAATACGTTCTTTTAAACACGTGTTGTATGCTTCAGTTAAAGCAGCCCACGGCTGACCACTCATACTTCCACTTTCGTCTAGTACAAAAATGAAATGATAAGGTTTTATTTGTTCTAGAACTGATTTGTTATACAATTCGATTTGACGAAGTAATTCTTGATCGTTACGATTCGATTGCAATTTTCGTAAATGCGTCAAAAATGTATCAGCCATTTTTTTCGTTGTTGTTGCTTTTAGATGACAAAGAATAAGATCAATATTTTTTTCGGTTAGTTTTTTCATAATTTCTTCAACTGTGAACTTAAGTCCATTCGGAAAACGATCATTTATTGAATCATTACATTCACGACCATGAGCTGGTGCATCGCAAACTAATATAGCAAATTTTACTTTAGCTTCCCAATTTAATGACACAACTTGATTTAATGCTCCTAGAACGTCTTCTGGCTCGTCGTCACCTCCATCTGCTCTTAATTGTAATAAAAATGCATGTACCCTATTAGTCTGTTCATCATGAAATCTTTTCTTTTGTTCCTTTTGTTGTTCAGCTGTTAATTTTCTATCCAATACAAATGAGTTCTGAAATTTAAGCTTTTCAATTGGTAGATTATCACCTTCATCTCGATATGCAACTACAGCATATCTTAAAATGAAATTTAGATCTGGAAAATCTTTTTCTATTCTTTCGGTAATACCATCTGTTATTGCTTTGATTTGTTTTTTGACACCACTTAACCAAGGTGTCATACTTGCTGTAACATCAATAACAAAACAAACATCTAAGCTCATATTACCACCTCCTGAACCACCATTTATATGTGCATCTCTCTCTGTTCTAAGAATTTCTTCTATAGAAGAAAATTGAGATTGAAAATTTTTGAGTAATTCCTGTGGATCATCATTTGTCCCTTGTATAATTCGTTTATCAGATAATGAATTGTCATCTGATAAACTTGGAAAAGGACCATCATTATCTTTTCGATATTTATATCGAAATGCATCACAAAGTGCTGATGGAATAGCCGCAATGATCCAGTCGCGATAAAAACGATGTACACATGGTCGCTCAAATCCAACTTGAATTCCAATGACTTCAACATTTTCTGAATCAGCACGAACTAAAGCTTCGCTTAATCCTAAACCACATGTTGTATAACCATCTGTTAAAACGAAAATCTTTTTAATATTTGAAGTAGGTTCTTGTGATAACATATCAAGTGCATATTCAATTGCAATTGCATCATTTGTACCAATCATCGAAGATATCATAAAATTTTTAAGTAACATGTAAATCGTAACTTCATCCCATGGTTGTTCGAATTTCTTAAGGATTTGTACATTATGACCAAATAAAATAATTCCAAAATTCTCAATTCCACATTGAACGAGTGCTGATGTTAATAAGAGTAAACTTTCCATAGCACACTGTTCTAAATGACCAATCATGGACATTGATATATCAATGGCAAATACAACACTATAATGACGTTTACCACCTGCTGTTTTTGAGCTTCCAATTCGTTTATAAGCAAAATCAGTGGCAATTGCTTTTACTAAACCAGGTAAATACAATGGTCCAGAAAAATCAGCACGACGGCGACTAAACTTATTAAATGGCATCACATAATCTTCAAATACATTTGTTAATTCAGTAATTAATTTTGATTGTTTTATTTGTGCTTTTTGCCATATTTGTTTTGCTTCTTGAATCTTTTCCTGACATTGAAATCGAACATATTTCAATTCATTTTCAAGTTTTTTTTGTGCTTCTTCCATATAATCTAAGCGTATCTTCTGATAATTGTCTATATCTTGTCTTCTATTATCTTGTTGAAGTGAATTTATTGCATTATCTTCGTTCGGTAATGCATTATTTGGTAAATTAACAAAACATAATGATTTTGCAATTGAACCAGATCCATCATTTTCTAATGCATCTTCATAGGTTGTTATTTTTTCTAAATTTTCTGCTGGCCACATATAATCAGAGTTTCGGTTTTGTTCACAAGATTGAATTGATATTGGTTTTATATATACAGTTCTTGTCTTATCAGATGTTTGTAATGAGGACGTTAGTGATGGGTCATGCATGGACTTAATTATTTGTTTAAATGCCAGAGCCAATAAAATTGATGTCGAACTAGCTAAACTTTTTACAGAAGGCTCAAATGGATCGATTGATACATATAAGTTATTGCAAACTTGCTCTAGTGAAGACTGTAATCGTTCCATTTTTTCAGCTAATCGCGTAGAACGAACATGTAATATCGCTATAGAAAAGTCGAATGCTCTTTTTGTATCAGTAAATTGATCTTTATCTTCACGTAGTTCTTCTGATAAGCCATCTGTTATAACTAATGCAATTCGTTTAACATTTATTGTTGAAGATTTTTCTGAATGACCCCATATATAATTAGCTATTGCTTCAACACCAGTTGCAACATGAGAACTTTCACTAAACGATAATGCTTCAAGTAACATTTGACCAAGACGAAATGTTAACGGCTGGTCAAATTGTTTTAAAATGACTTGACTACGTGGACCACGATTTCCAAATCGCCCTACTGCTACATGACATTCAAGTTTTTTTAATGTTTCTAATAGAATGATCAAAGCTTCACGAATAAAATTCTCATAAACACTCATAGATCCACTATTATCGATTATAATTATCCATTCAAATGCAACTGGATTTGAAATTTTACTAAACAGATCACTTAGTTCATCTCGAACTATGGCGCATGTAGTGTCAATCACAGTCTTTATTGATTCACAGGATGCTAATTTTTGATAGGTCCACGTTTCTGATGGAATATTGAGCAAATCTTCTAATTTTGAATTATATACAGCCATTGGATTATTTTGTTTCATACGATAAGATCCACTTCGATATAAATCATAAATATTTTCGTCGTTTAACAATTCACGAATTTTTTCTTTAGATGGTGTTAAATGAGAAATTGTATCCATTTGTGTAGTAAAGTTTATTTCAGCTATTCGATCTAAACTTGTTTGAACTTCTACATCTGTATTGCTCATATCTGAGTAGTCAGTCCGAGGATTGGGTTGATAATTGGAGACTGGATGAAAGTTAGAATGAGAATCAGTTGGCTTTGATGTATCTGTTTTGGATGCTTCAGCCCTGCGTTTCTTGTGGACATTTTGTGACGAATTTAGAATTTTCCGTTGTAGCTCTTTTACAAATTTTAGTTCAAGAGTCTTTGGTTTTTCTTCATCGTTCAAGTTATTTTCTGCAACTGTTTCATTAGGAAAAAATGAATCAAATGAGGGTAAAGCAAATTTCTGTTTTTCTTTATCTATGTTTCTTATTTTTTCTACTATTTTCGTTTGTTCTCCATGTTTCAAATGTGCAAATGGGTCATCATGGTCAACATCAGATTTTCTGGTTTTTTCAGCAGTTTTTTTGTAGATATTTCCTTCTAAAACTGGAATAGTATCTTCTTCTTCATCTTCATCATCAGTTTTCTGTTTAAATATATGTAAATGTTGAAATTGAGATGAAAGTTCTTCAGATACCATTCGAATTGGTATTGATGAAAGCTTATTTCTCAATACTCTCATTTGTCCTTGAATAAATTGAGATAATGGATCACTGACAAATATAGCAAAGTTTTTCTCTAATCCTAATAGATATCTTAGGAGATTTACACCGTCAATAATAATTTGAAATGCCAATGATTTTCTCTCATCACTGACATGTTTGTCATTTCGAATAAGCGAACAGATATTTGTAAAACTGCGTGACCAGTTAGAAACAATTTGAGATAAACGAACGATACTATTAAGTAATTGTTCCTCTGTAAAACTTCTGTTTTTCGATGAAGTTGATAAATCATCCATAATTTCCTGTAAAGTTGTCGATACTTTGTTTGAATCTATTTTAACATTTTCATATCGATTGTTGTCACTTGAAGAATCGAAATTATCATTGGAATGTTCTTCGATTGAAGAGGTTGTTGTTGAAATTGATTCCGCAACAGTGGATCCTACTTCATCGGGTTTTATCATACGTTTCAGCCATTGATTAGGATTATCAACATCTTCATTTTCATAAGAAAAAGAAGGTTTGTATTTCGGCAATTTATCCTTATCTAAAAAGCATTTTGAAATGTTCCTCATGAATACAGGTTTCTGATGAGTTTGAATAATTTCACTAGACGATGAATATTTGCCTTGGCTTATTAGTAAATTTTTATGAACATTCATGGCACTAAGTATCAAAGAAGGAGAACGAATTGCATCAAAAAGTTGATTGTTACGATCGTGTGCATACAAACTGACAGCATTAATAAGTTGTTTCAAGTCTTTGCTAGGTATTTGATAACCTTCGTTTATAGCCACTTCTATAATGTTAAAGAATACCGATTGAAAACGTTCATTCATTGATGCTATATTTGACAAAATCTTATAATTTTGCCATAAGGAAAGCATCGATTTTGCCGCTTTATTAACATCATAATTGTTTACTTTTTCAAGTGAATGTAGGAATTCACATTCGTTTCGTGCATTAATAATTTCACTAGATGATGACCAGTTTAAAACATCAAAAATTGTTTTGAGTTTAGCTTTGTGATTATTTTCATTAAAAGATGTAATAGATATGAATTGGTTAATGAATGCAGAACAGTTGTTTTCTGTTGCCATTTGATAAAGACCTTGAATAAAAATACTTAAAGCATTTTGCATTGAAGGATGTTTTTCAAATTGAAATAATGCGTCTGATGCATACCATACAGGTGACTTTCGCCATTTATCCGATATACACCCACATAAGATAACTAATTCTGACCAAATATCAATTGCTGAATTATCATATGTTTGAAAATAATTATACAATCTTTCGATTGCTAATAATCCACGATTCAAATAACTTATTCGTTTTGAGGGCGGTATCAAACCTATTTTACTGCAATATGAAATAAGACTGGATGCGTTGCTTATTATACTTGAACTGTTTCCATCTCGTAGAGATTTCTTCCATAAAAACACTATTTCTGCTGTATTTTGTATATATTCATCTTGAATTTCATGGCCCACCACTCGGCGAATATAATTTTGAAGTTCTTCTTCATCTTCTGGCCATCTGTGAGAGTTTCTGAGTAAAGTTTCTACAATCGAGCCTCGATCCAAAATATATGTAATTAAACAAATAATACAACTTTCCCATCTAGGCTTTCTATTTGTCCAAATAGTGCGAATTTCATCAGTTTGACAATCTAAAAGATCAACTGAATAGCTTGTGAGCTTGTTCAATGATGATTGAGGACGTGCACGGAAATGCAACAAAGTTTTCGCTATATCTGCAAGTAGATAAGCTTCTTGTCTAATGCTAAAGTCTTCTGGTATCATATTACATATTATTTGAAATGATTCTGATATTGAAATTGTATCTGTCATATCCAATTGTAAATAAGAATTCCATAATAAATTCAAATTAGGTTTCATTGATTTTATTAATATTTTGAAAAAATCTGCTAAATTTTGTATCTTTTCATGTTCAGAGATATTTTGATCAACAAATAATACAGATATTGCTTTAGAAATTGAAATCGCTGTTTGTTTTAAAATATTTGTATTCCACGGCCAATGTTGTACAATATAATCTAAATTTATGTTCTGCTCGGTCAGAATCTTACAACCGTAGCCTAAAAATTTCGAAAATATTTCAAATAATGCTGGTGATGGTCTTAGGGCACAGTCAAGTATTGTTATCATTTGATCATAGGATGGCTTTGAAGATAAATTAAACTTTGTCGTATAATGAAATAAAGAAACTAATTCGATAAATATGTGTTGTTGATATGAATGAAACAGCTGAGGTGATAAACATGCAGCTGCTACATCAATTGGATTTTCTATTGTAACTTGTGATAAAAGAAGCGTTAAAACTGGATGAATATTCCATGTATGAACAAGTGTTTGAATGAAGTAATGAGCTAATTTTAAGCCTGAAATAGGTTGCTGTATTTCATCGATCAATTTGGATACATTAAAGTCATTTTGTGTTTGTCGATTTTGAAATGATCCGTTAAGTATATTTTTTATCTGGTCTAAAACTTGTTTTTTCTCAGCACCATTTGCAGAATTCCGATATAAATCTAACTTGTTTCCTAGTGTATCCCAAGAAATCGATAGTATGTCAGTAAATAATGAGTTCAAAGTTTCAATAGATATGTTTGAATGAATAATGTTTTGTTTGGATGAAGATAGTGTACCTGACATAATAAAACAGAATGGACGATGTTCATAAACAATGTGATCAGGACCAAGAAATGCTTCTCTAACAGAAATTACTTGTATTTCTTGTAAAAATCGTGATTCTCTATTTGTGATTTGAAAAGAATCTTTTAATTGAACAATAACTTTTAGGATAGCAAAACAGCTACGTGGGATTATAATTTCGTGTCTTTCATTTTCTTTCACAAATTCTTCCAATGTTATATGAATATGTCCCTTAGCTGTAGGTAATATTCCCGTGTTATTGATCTTGACAATAATATCTTTCAATGCTAAATGTGATGTTGGTACATACTTAACAAGTAAATGCACTGGATCCTCTTTTGCAAAAAGTTTTGTTTCAAAAGTATACTGTTGATTAGTCGTCATATTTCCAAAATCTTTCCAATAATTTTCACAAAGTAATTGACCACATTTGACATTGATATCACATTGAATAGTCTTTGTTGTTCCATCTTCAATTTTTATGTTACATTTAATTTTACTGTTTTTAAAGCGATATAAATGTGATAAAATGGACAACGAAGTTTTCATTTTTGGTTCCAATTCAATGTCAACTGTTCTGCCGTTGTTAGTTACAGAATGATTGTTTTGTTCAATTATTTTAAAACTACTTGATGACTGTAATAAATCAGCATGTGCCGTTGATATTATACGTCCATTATTTTGAAGTTCCAGTATGCAATTGAAAGGTAACAATCGACGATTTTCTATGAGATTATGCTCTTTAAGCCAATATATGTCAGCATTTATAGTATTAATGTCGGTTTTCAAACTTGCTGCAATGTTTGCTTTACAACACGTAATCTTAATCTTTATTCTCAATTCTTTTGAACCAATTATAATTCTTGATAAGGTCAAAAAGATACCTTCTTCCCTTCCAAAAATCCATAAACGAATATTTTCACGTTCTTTCTTTTTTATTACAACAATTTCATCAATTATATTGATCCAATCTTTTGATGTTTGTTCGATTTTAGTAATAGCATTTAAGTCAACATTGTTCAAATTTTCAATAACTAATGTGATAAATCGAGTTTCATTTAAAACAACATCAAGGTCTACATTATCTCCTGCTCTCCAATGATCGCTTGAGGATGGTAAATAAATTTTAAATTGGGGCTCTTGAATGTTAGCTGTGATTGGTAATGTTTGTGGTTCAGCACCCTCATAAACTACAATCAGTTGTGCTTTCACTTCATCGACTTTATCTGCACAACGCAAAACGATGCTAACTTTTTCTGATGATTTTGGAAAAATTATCAATTGTTTAGGTAAAACTTCTATTCCAGATAAACATTCTCTTAAACATGTAATGCCAAAGCGTACTTTGATTTTAAGATTACTATTATTTTTCAAAGTTAAACTATTTACATGAGTTCCACTTCCAGAAATTAAATCACCAAAATCAATTGTTGTTTCTGATAATTCAACTTTTGAACAATGAACATTTCCTGTTACTATTAATTTACCCATTGGTTTAGGCTCTTCATTGCCAACATGTGCTTGTGCAGAAATTGTTGCATTTGTATTCAGCATACTCTCTTGTGCCGATACAGTGAAGACAACAGAAAATGATCGAAAGTGTCCAGGTAATACATTAAATGACGGTGGTATGAATGATAAGTTTGGTTTTTGTTCTGCAGAACAAACAATACGAACTGGAATATCACCAGTGTTTGCTATGATGAAATTTCGTATCAATCGTTTATTTCGTCTAATCGATATGAATCGCTTGCCAAAATCAGCAGAAAGGTTTTTCGGTTCCATAGTCCAAGAACTATGTATTCTATTAATATAGGCAATTGTTTCAAATGCACCACTGTCTGTGTTGTTGATGACAGGTAATATGTCAAAGCTTCGAGCTTGATATTTAGTTAAATAAGATAAAGATTTGTTTAAACGCATGAATAGTTCGTGTTTACGCCTTAAAAGTTTCTCTGCAGCACGCTGTAGAAGATATGTTTCAATTCTATTTTCCACTAGTTTATCAGAGTGATAGATATTAATATCAGAAAAATTACTCTTCGTTTGTTCTATTTGTATCAAATCATCTCCTGTTCCTATATTAGCAACTTTCAATAGTTTAACGTGTTCAAAAAGAATACTTGATATAATATGAACACATTGAATGTTACTTTGAAGTTTCAAATTTATTTCTTTCATCTTATCGATTATTGATATCATTTTTGTCGTATACAGTTCAGAAATAGAAACTTTAAGATTTTCTACTGTAACTACATCCTCAATATTGATAACTTTTCCGTTCCTTACCTCTATACCACTAATGCTTTTTTCAATGTTTTCAGGAATCTTTTTCAATTGGATGGTATCTTTCAAATCTAGTCTCGTTATATCTTTATTATTTATTACGCTTTCTAGATTTTTATATAGTTTCTCTATAACTTCTTTACCATGACGCAACTCATTCATTATCGCTGGTAATGCCGTTTTCACAGGAAGTCCTTCCTTATTGGATTCATCGACTTGCTTCTTGTCTTCAGTGTCATCTGGAACGTCGTTTGGTGTTTTCTCTTTGTATATTTCTGCGACAAAGGAGCCTGGATCCTTTTTGCGATCATTTAAATACTCTTCGAGCTTCTTTAAACTAATGAACAGATCGTCTAATGTTTTTTTTCCATTCTTGTTTTCCGTAGAAGTTGGCGTCGGATTCATATTCTGTTTGTCATTCTGTAATAAATATTCATTTTGTATTTTGCTTTCAATTTGTAACTTAAGTTTCCCTTGTAATAGTGTTGCCGTGTCTCTTGATTGAGGGGACGAAAGAGGGATGTCATACCAATCATCATCTACTTGAATCTTAATCTTATTGTCTAATTCATTTATAGGAATCACTAAAGTTAGCGGTGTGTGCCTAATATGAGAAAGAATCGAGTTATTCTTTAGTCCTTCTTCGTTTTTTAAAGTAATTTCCTTGTTTAGTACGTTAGAATCAGAAGAAATAGATAGTATTGTCACACTCACATAAATCCTTTGTTTTTCAGTAACGATGTTTTGAAGAATTAATTTTACCTTTGGATCTTTGGAATACAAAGAACCAATGTTATTACATATTGTTATTGACTCTTCTGGGTAATTCTGCAGCCAATTTAATTCCTGTAAGAATTTTACTATTTTTTCAGCTTTTTCTGTACATTTGCCTTGCCATTCTCTAAATTTTCTACATTCTTTTTCGTGTTCTTCTTCTCTTTGTTTTTCTTTATCGACAAATTCGTTATATTTTTTTCTAATTTTGTCTAAAAACTTTCCCAAGAACGTTTTTCGAGCCTCATGACGACGCTCTATCATGTCGTTTATTTCCTTTTGATATATATTTTCGCAATCTGTTGCTTCATTATAGAATCTAATGAAGTTTTCGCATATCTTTTTCATATCTCCTAAATATTTTCTCATTTTTGACCATTGTGAATCTGTAACTTCATTCATTATACTAGTTGATTCAAAATTTCTAGCTCGTTGTATAGCAGCTAACAATACTTTTTTAGCATTTTCTTCATTCGAGAGTTTGTCTGTCATATTTTTAATGATTTCTTCAACAAAATCATTAAAATTATTTATAATACGACTTAGAGATTCTGGTTGCGTAAGACAATCCATTAAATCAACAAGTAGATTTCCTGTTGTTTGAACGGTTTTATCAAGAATAATAGCTGCTTCATGTAACTGTTCGAAACCAAATTCTAAATTTGGTTGTAATCCTAAATCTGGTAATTGTGTTTCTCGACAAAGTAATTGTTTTAAATAGTCTGACCTTCGAGCAAAGTCACATAACCGTAATTCATTATAACGTAATTTAAATGAACCTTCTTCGTCTTTTTCAAAAATCTGTTGATCCGATATACTTTCATTTGAATATGCATATGCAGCAATTATTTGTGAATTGGCAACTTCTTGAGCTATATTCGCAGAAAAAGTTTTAGCAACTGCTGTAGTAGCAGATTTCAATATTTCACGAACAACAATCTCATGAGCTCTATTGAAGACGTCCCATGGTAATTCAGATCGAATATTACGACCCTGAAAATCAAGTTTTTGTCCAGTTTCAACAAATTTCGATATAGTATTCATCTTTTCAATAACACCAGCAGCTGCATCTGCTTTAGATATACTCATTGGAATGTTGGCAACTTCATTGGTAGCTTGAATAAACTCAAGAATTAGAGTAACAATATTTTCTGAATAAATTTTACCAATTCGTGTAATATCACGTCCAACAAATGAAAGTAAACATTTTTCAACAAAATTTTTCAATAAATAAGAGGATGGTAAAACTGTATTTCCAATACTGAGAAGACATTGCTCCAAATCAATATTCAGTGAGAGTGGTGATAGAAGACTTCCAGTAGTTTTTGATATAAATATACTTGATAAAGCAGCTTCGACTTGTGGAAGTTCATGACGTAAACGATCAATTGTTTTTAATAGATCTGCCTCTTTACCAGAATTAATCCACATAAATTTACTTTTACTAGTTGATAATAAAATTTGTTTTGTATAATCAGCAATTTGTTCTTGTTCACTTTTAAGTGTAATTCCATAATATTTTGCTAGAGTTGTTAGACATGCTACTAATTGATATACAAAACGACTGACCATTTGTACAAGTCGTTTTGAAGGCTCATCAACATTATCCGAAATAGAAATTGTTTTTTCGCTATTTTCAAAGTCATTATACAATTTGGTTGATTTATCTAGAAGTTCGGATACAATTGGAACATCAAGAGTAGTCTTTGCTGCACGTTCTATTATTTCATTTAAAGATTTCTTAATTTCACGACATTTCTCCGCAGCTTTAAATAATTCTATATTGTTGACATTATTGTGCCATCTATTGTATACTGTTGTGTTGTTAGCAGAACATGTTAATCCTTCTAGTATACATGTCAGAGTCCAATCAATGAATATTCGTAATGGATCATCATTCATTAATTTCTGTAAAATGGTTTCTACTTCAGAAAATAAACCTCGAAGAGTTTTTAATGTTTGATTGATCGATTCGTCCCAGTCATTAACTGTTGTGACATTAGTAAAATAAAGTTTTTTAAATATATTCAAATGATTTGATAGAATTTGATTAAGTTTATCGTTAGAAGACGATGAATCTAAAGAAATACTTCTTGAAATACATGTCATTATTTTCTTAACTTCTGTATTTATTTGATTCATTTCATGGAAAATATCTTCTTGAATCTTTTGGCCACATTGATGTTTTTGTTCGAGAAGATTTTTTTCAATTTGCTCTTTATTTTTCTTAATTTTATCAAGTTCTTCCTTGCATTTACTTTGTTCTACAATAAGGCCCTCTCTTTTCTTAAGTAATTCATCTATACGATCCCCAGCACCTAGTGCACCCATATCTCGAAGACGTTGAAAAGTTTTTAATTTAGCTTCTAATTCTTTTAATTCACCATCTAAACTACGCAGGTCTGTCAGAATTCTTTTTTCGTCATCTTCGATGTTCTTTAGTTTTTTCGATAATTCTTCAGTTATTTCACGTAAAGTTTCTTTATTAAGTTGTATAAATATATTTTTGTTATTCATACATACAGTCTCTCCATACAAATAAATTGTAATATTCGTCATAACAAGTCCAAGAATAATTTCTAATGGTATATTTTGCTGTAAAGATAAAAATGGTGGTTTCTTTGTTATTGTTTCGTTTAATAAATTAACTAGAAAATCAGCTATTGATTTTACTTGATTAGAAGAAAATATAAAATTTGATGAGGTTAAATTTTCTGTATGTTTACAAATTTTACACGCATTAATGTGCCAATCGCTTTTTGGTTCATTAAAACTTGGATGAAAAATATTCGTTCGATTGACAAAAGTCAAATTAGGTTTTGGATTTTCTGAATCGTAAATAAACATTTCGACATTCATTTCGATTGCAACAATTTCAGAAACTATTTGCAAATACTCTGGACATAGCCATGTTATTAAATCTGAACAACGTAAAAGTCGTGGTTGTAATATATATGATGCATGCCAAGGAAAACTACTCATTGTGTTGTCTAAATCATGTTTGCGAATATGAAGAATTTCAACAAAACGAAATAAATTAATAAAATTTAATTTATTTTCTACATTTTGTTTAGCTATCGGTTGACAAGCGGCTTGTATAGAATCCCAAGTAATAATTTTTTTTTCATGAATATTTCTTCTTAATTTACTTCCAAGTTCAGTAACATGTTTTGAATGTTCACATACAATAATTTCGAATAATTTTTCAATTTCAATTTTATTAGATGTATTTTGTTGCTCGAAAATTAAATTTCTACGACTAAATTCCATCGCTATTTTATCATTTAGAATAGCTGCGACAGCATGCAATTTTTGACTTTGAAGTTGTTCAAGATTATTATTGGTTTCCGAACGAAACCATGAAGTCGATATATTTAATAGCTGCCACCAACCCCAATCTGCATACGATTCTTCAATTAATTGTGTCAAAAAGTCAGTTTTTTCTAATTTTTGGATTTCATCTGATAATTGAGTTAGTTGTTGTAGGTTATTACAAGACTCTTTCAGATTTTCAATTAGTGAACGATCAATAGGACTTTCTTCATATGATAACCGTAGCTTCTCTATTGCTGAACAATGGTTCATATCCTGAATGTAATCATTGACTCGTTGTAAATGTTTATAAAGGTGTTGTAATTTACTTTTACCAGGACGTTTTAAAGTTTGAATGTTTCGTTTTATAACACTTATACTCTCTTTTAAGAGAAAAATTTCTTTTACTTCTTCTTCAGTTAGTTGTTTTTTACTTTTCAATGTCTCAATCCAATTTTCAATGTCTAGTAGATTTTTACGAGCTCGTTCAATAGTTAGGATAGGATATGGTCGTATTTGGCGGGCTTCTTCTAAGAGTTTTTCTAACTTTTGTTTTTCTTCACGTAACTCCTTTAAATGTACATTTTCAGATGTTTCTGATATCAATTGTTCAGATTCAGTAGCGTCATTTGAATCCGTTCTATTGTTGTTTTTCAATTCATTTTGACAAATTTCAATAGCAACATTAATAGCTGTATGTATGTTAGTAGTATTGATTATACTATCATCAATTGTCAGAATACCTTTCACTCGGTTAATTATTTGCTTCATTTTATAAAATGAAATTTCATCCAATTTTCCTGTTTCATTAATGTGAAGTTCAAAATTTCTTTCATTTGTCGTATGTAATTGAATACACCAATTATAACATATTGCTTCAACAACATGTGATAAGAATTCTATTTGTAATTTACTATGTTCTTCAATAGTATATTGATCAATCGAATCATCTTCTGTTGCAGTAGAAAATGCTTTATTAACAAATATTTTGACCAAGGAATTCATTGAATCTATTAATTGTATTTGTGCTTCTAATTTATTATTTATTTTGATATGTTGAGTTTGAACAATATTTTGAATTTCTGTTAGAACAAATGGAATTGTGTTACTAATTTCAATTGGTAATTGTAAAACTCGTTGTAATAATTTCCGATCAAGTATTGATGTTTTCCAACGTTCATTCATTTCATTAATAATTGTTGATCTAATTGAAGATATTTCTTTAAATTCTTTAGCTTTGTCACCTATTTCTAATGCTTTAGTTTCTAATTCAGTATCGTTCCATTCTCCTCGCTGAGTCTTACGTAAATGATTGAGTGTGATGCATAATGTTTGTATTAATTCATGTACTATTACAGTGTTATTTTCTGTCCAATTTTTAGCATTTGAACTTTTAACTAATAAAGAACTTTTATTCAGCAAATCTATAAGAAATATTTCTATTTCTTTCTGAAATTCTTTATTTCTTTGGGAAGTTATTGATTCAAGATCAAATGTATGTGAAATCCAATTGAAAGATGCAATTGCTGTTAACATTGTTGAAATTTTTTCTTTTAAAACATCTGTAGAATGATCTAAAAATAAATCTTGAGTTAAACTTGGTAATTGATATTCTTTTTGTGTTATAGAAGCTCCTATAACTTTGAATGGTGTCTTAAGTTGATCAAGTAGTAAAGATGGATTATCAATATTAGATAGTAAAACAACTTGCTTGGCTTCTTTTTTCGATCTATTAAAATTTGTAATACATAATGCAATATTTGATTCAAATAAATCTGTATCAATATAAAATGTAAGATCAAGTCCATCATTTTTGTCTAATACAGAACTTCTAAACTCATCGTCGTTAATTTCTTGAACATGTTTTGAATTCGAGTTTATAATACGTACATAAACTCTACTAGGTATCGTTTTAGCTATAGATGTAAAAAATAATCCAATCCATATAAATGAAAAAGGACTATGAATTTCATTTGATTCAATACTTTCTAAAATGATTTTGAAATTTTCATTCAAAGCATATTCTAATGAAATGAGATGGCCAGCTGAAGAATCATAAATTAATTTTTGTAACCATTCACAACATTGTGCATGTTTTTGAATTGTTTTAACCATTAATTGTCTTTGAATATTTTTTAAGTAATTTGTTTGAAAAAGATTTCGTATTGATTGAATTGATTTCTTACATTCATCAAAGCGAATTGAATCATTTGATGCTATTGCAGATGATGCTTTTTCAAGTTTTTCTATAGCATCTGGTAAACATTCACACATAGTTAATTTTATATCCCATATTTGGAGCTGTTGAATTGTTAATAAACTCTTTCTTGTATCAATACAACGAACATTTATTTGTTGCTCTAATGTATTAATAGTTGTTTTCCACATAACTGCACACCATCCCGCAACTATTAAAAATCGATTGAGAATTTGTCGAATGAATTGATAAGTTTCATTATTTTCTGATTGACTAAATCTATCATGAAAATTTTTAATTTTTGATAAAACATTTTCTAAATTCACTACTATTGTAGTAAGTGGTTTCTTTAATATATCTTGAATTGCAAATCCACTACTTCTTTGTCCAACTTTTTCAAATAATGGTTGTAAAACATCAGAAAATTGAATAAGAGAACTTTGATTAACTATTCGAAATGAAGATAAAATAAGATTGAACGAATTTATTTTACGAATTAACATTTGTGTTTGATACCAAAGTTGTTCTGTCGGAGAAGTATGTGTTTGCGAAAATTCGATATTTTTGAATAAATTTTCAAAAATTTCAAAAACTTTACAAATTCGTTTTAATACCATCGCTTGTTTTTCTGAATCAAAAACTGATACATATTCAATAAATTTATATAGTTTAGTATATAATTTAATTCCACATAGTTCAATTTGTGTTGATAATATTTCAATACTTTGACGCGTTATATCACCGCAAAGTAATTCACGTGTTCTATCACTTAAAATTTCTATTTTTGCTTTTTCTGATAATGGACCTGTTGAATCTATTAATTTCCACAGTTCACCAAGTTCTTGTTTTAAATAGGGTCGCTGTTGTAACAACACGTTATGTACAAATCCACGAATGAAATCGGCAATATTGTCAGCTGATACTTCAGTTTCTACGAAATGAATCATAAGTATACACATTGCATCACAAATCAACATTTCAGCTTTGCTAACTGTATCAGTTAATTCATCAATATCAAGATCAAGTTGATTTTTCGAACCATAACTAATTGGTTTTACAAATGTAAATGTATTCTTCTTAACAAATGGTGACTCTAAATGTTTCTTAAATGAATTTATTAATAATGTTCTCTCTTCTAAGTTTGTGATACACATTGTATAATTACGTAATAATCTCCAAATCACTGCATGTAATGGTGCTAATTGATATTGATTCATTGAATAACGAGCTGTCGAACAAGTATATTGTAATGTTCGAAAAGAATATTGGAATCCTTTTATAGGATGTATTTGTTCATTTTGTAGCATCATTTTAGCATCAGCATGACAGAGTAGACAAAATGATAGAAGTTCATAACCACCATGAACACCAACAAATTGATCTAACAATATTTTAAATATATTTGTTTTTGTTGGATCAAATATTTTATCTTTACTGATATTATTTTTATCTATAATCACATCTGATATAATATCATTATCTAAAGCTTCTAAAGATATACATAGGACTCGATTGGTTAATGCACTTGAAAGTTTGTTGGCACCTTCAAGTTTTGGATTACATGTAGCAAAAAGAGCAAAACCTGGATGAATCTTATCTCCACTAAGTTCTTCTGTGTTATTATTCTCATCTTCTGTTGAATTATTTTCATACAAATTCAGTACTGGATTCTCTTCAAATAATGACAATAATCGTTCGAGTACTTCTGGCGGTGCACTATTAATATTATCTAATACGACCCAATGACCTTCACGAATGGCTTTAACAAGTTGGGATTCAATAAACTTGAATGTCATTTCAAGTTTCTTACTTTCTGTAGTACTTTCTTCTGTGTAGTGTGATTTTTGAGGTAATTGATTTTCATGATGTATTTTTACCAAACGAATAAGATATTTACAATCCAATAATAAAATATTTGCATCTGAGCAAAGATCTTTTTGTCTTTCAAGGTTAACAATTTGTTTTGATAATTCTTGTTCAATAAACTTTAAATATTTTATGCATTCCTCTGTTAATAATGGTACTTCTTTCTCGTTTTCTTGTGAGAAATTCGATTGATTTTCACTGTTATCATTATTTTCGACTTGTTCTGTTTTTAAGTTCGAATCTGAAGAAATGTTAAGTGAATTAAAATAAAGTTGAAATTTGGTTTGAATATTAAGCCAATCAGAGACTATTTTCGGTAATAAATTTTTAATTTCACGCTCGACATCAAAGTTTTCTTGTTTTAAAACTGGACAAACATATATAAGAAAAAATTTTGTAAGACGTTTTATAAAATTATCAATATGTGTCATAAATGGGTATGTGTCTAATGATCGATTTGTTTCTTCACAAACATGAGGTACCCATTGACCAATTAAATCGGCTGTTTCAGTTTCTTGTGTTAAATGCAGAACAATTAATTGTCGACGACAAATACGAGCAAGTTCATATAGTAGTGCACTCTTTGCTGATGCCGTTGGTCCCATTAACATTGTTGCTCGTTTACTTTGCAACGCAGCTACAAGCATTTCAAGATATTCTACGGTTTTCGGCGTATGAACTAAACCTTTTCCAAAATCGAAATCTTCTGTGTGACCTGTGCGTACATAAAGTGATCCAACTCGAATAAAACCGAGCGTTGATGTATCAATTGTAATTGAAGACGTATTATCTTCTTCATTGTTTATTTTGTCCGATATAGGAAGATATTTGTTAATTAGTGCATCAACTTTTAATCGATCGTTAATATCTTGCCATCGCATCCCATATACAAGACGAAAGAATTTTCTAATTATAATCAGTCGAATATCGAGTTTGACTCCACTAACTGATGAAGTTTTAGGAAAAAATGTGTAATGATCACGTAGATCAGGAGCATTTTTACGTAAAACATCGCATAATTTTATTAAATCTCGAAGGTTAATTTCATGTGGGCCACCTGTTTGTCCAATATCTCGTGATGAAACTAGTTTGTGAATTTCTTTATGTAATTTAAATACTTGATTCAATTGTTCATGAGTTAATATAGGCCAATCACCTGTTTTTGTTGTTTCAGAATTTTTATTTTCTGGTAATAAATCAGAAAATACACTTGTTACGATGAGTTGAAGTTCAATATCATCATATGGATCAAGTTTCACTGAAGTGAACATGCGAAAAATCGATCTCGGTAAACGACTACGACCTCCACCGATATTTGCTGGATTCATAGTGGCATAAATTCTTGAATTCAACTCTATAGGTTCTGTATTTCCCGTTAACACTATAGTCTTTTTATCACGCTGTAATAATGAAACAACTGATTCTAAAACCTCTGGCGGTGCCAAATTAATTTCATCAAACAAAATTGAATGTTTTTTTCGTAAGGCACGTGTGACTGCACCATCTTGCCATACAAATGTACGTTGTTGTCCGTCGCTTTTGGCAACAATACTACCAAATAATTGTTCTACAGTTGTATTTGCTGACATATTAATACGTTCTAATTTCTCATCTCTTAATTTACATACTTGATCAATAATTGCTGTTTTACCAATACCAGGTGGCCCTTCAAGAAGTAGTGGAACTCGTGCTGAATCGGCTGTAAATAATCGAGCAATATTTTTACATGTTGTTTTTGTTGAAGATATACGCAAACAAGAAAAAACTTTTTCTTCACTGTCATCGTCACGCAATGGCATACAAATATCACAATATGCACTTTTAATTGCTTTATTTGTAACTTTTATGAATTCTGAAACATGATCTAGTGTTGGTTCATCGAATATTGAATCAATATTCTTTTTTGTTTGCTCCAACTCTTCATGTGACAATCCCCAAGTTTCAATCCATGATTTAGCAATATCTTTGCCAGATGTTACGCCATCCAATAAAAAAAACCGAACTGCCACTAGAAGTCTTTTATTAAGATCAAGTCCCGTAGTAGATGAAGATAAACAGTCGATAATTCGAAGAAATTTGATTAAATCATAATGAGAGTGTTCATGACGTACACTAATATCCATTGCAGTTTTCAATTTTTTTTGAAGCGTTTCAAGCCTTTCGCATATCCCTTCAGCAAAACATTTTTCATTTTCTTGTAATCTTCTTTTCAATTCCTGAGAAAGTACACTTTTGGCTTCCTCATCGCTATAGCCTTCTACACGAATTTCAGTAAAACGCGATCTAGCTGCTGGACTAATTTTAATTGGTTCTGATTCTGACCCATGATGAACAGTAGCAAATAGTTGAAAACCAGGTAAAACATCAATAGTCGTGTTTGAACATGTTATATCTTCTGTAACGGAAAAACATGGATTTGGTTCTAATAAACTATTTAAACGTTCAGTAGCAGCTTGATTTGCTAAATCAAAGTCTTCGATAAGAATAGGTTGACCAAGTTTCACAGCACGAGTTACAGCTGCATCACGAAATAAAAATATTGGTTTGTTTCGATTAAATGATGGTGAACTGATTGTGTTCCAGATGAATTTAATACGTTCAATTGATTGCAATAAACTTTCATCTGTTCCTACAATAGCAATATCTTTTATATCAAGAAGTGACGATAATAAGTTTGTAGCGGCATTCAATAATTCTTGTGGTAAAGTTTGCAATTCTTCTTTATCTAATGGTTCAAAATTGTCCTGTAAATATTCTGAATCATTTTCAAGATTAGTAAGCGATTCACTCATTGCTGATCTATGCGTCTCAAATTCAAAGGAATAAGATTCATCGATTGCACTTTGATTATGAATTGTTTCAGAACCAATATTTTGCTCTGAGTCATGTATGGTATTTTCATTTTCAAAAGTGTTTGATTCTAAATTTAAAGTTTGTTCGACATCATTGGGCAAATAATCATCATGATCATTCGAAGTTCCAAACTCTCCATACGGATTATCAACAAGCTCATAGTTATCAAAAATTTCATTATCTTCATTATTCAGTTCTGTTGTACCAAATTCCCCTGTACCAGAGCCGTATGTATCTAAATAATCTTCCCAGTTTGAGTCTGTCCCAGCATTATTATTTTTGTATTCATCTTCTGCTGTTTGTAACTTTTCCTTCTGTCTTCTTTGCTCATTGTTTTTGATTACTTCTTGATCTTCAACATGTTTTATTTTTGTCTGAAAATCATCAATACGTTTCGATAATACTCGCTCTAAATCTTTCCATTCCTCCTTTAACTTGGCATCCTTAACTTTTATTGAAACTGTTAATGCAGATCGTGCCAAAACAGCTTTGGCTAGTGACACTAATTCGTGTAAAGTTGCAAAAAACGAAAATGGGCACATTTGCCCAATTAATTCATTGGCATCACTTTCGGCAGTTAAATGTACCGATTGTAATAAGTCATTTTTTCCAATAATTTGAGTCCACGTTTTGACCAATAATGTTTTGAAACTAGTCGGACCTATCAATAAAATTGGTTCTCGAGCTTTTACAGCAACTGCTATTTGTACAAGTGCTCGTTGAAATGAAGATGGCGGTGACGAATCAGATTTGAATAAATCTGATTGTTCTCGTTTAGCCTCCGAAAAGGAGGCTTGTATTTGTCCAAGACTAAATTTAACACCACTTTCTGTCTCTTCTATACGTGGTTGTGAATCAATCTGCATTTGTTTTAATTCAATATTACATTTATCTGCCAAGAGTTTCGCTAAACTGTTAAAATGAATTGACGATTTACTGAATTTTAGTAATAGCAATGATTTAGCAGCATCAGGCCAATTATCTGAATTATTCGAAAACATTAAAGCACGACGTTCTATCTTTATAATTTCACGCATAGTTATGCGTAGATTTGGATTATTCTGAAGTGCAATATATATGGATGCCATGGTAGTTGCCATTTGAGAATTCGTTTTCAATTCATTTGTTGAAATCAATCGTGGTACACCAATCAATGGTTCTTCAACACGTTTCTTTAAAATGGTTTCGAGTTCATTGTGACTAAAATCTTCTATTTGAACTTCCATAAATCGACTACGTAGAATAGGTGGTAGACGATTACGTCCTTTAAATTGAGATGAAGCTGGATTTTGTGTAGCAAAAAATCGAAATTGTACGTGAGCTTGAATAAATTTACCAGTTCCGGGTATACGAATCTCACCTCGATCAAGAACTGTTAGAATAATACTTAGTACGGATGGATCAGCTAAATTGAGTTCATCTGCTAAAAACCAATGTCCATTGGTCATTGCACGTACAAGAGAACCAGGTTTAAATTCAAAGTTTGATCCAAACGGTACAAGTGAACCAATATAGTCTTGAACCGATGTTGTACTAGAATTATTAACTCGTTCAAGTTTCATACCTGTACCCATTAGTTTTTTTCCCAAGTACACAATCAGTGATGTTTTGCCAACTGCTGGTGGGCCTTCGAATAAAATTGGATAATTACTAATAACACATTTTGCACATGTCTCTGCATGACGAAGACGGCTGTCGGATAGAACATGTTCCGAAGAGCTTTCATTTTCATTGAAAAATTTTGATAAATTCAGTTTAGTTTGAGTTCCAGAGTAGCTATCAATTTGAAGTGTTTTACGAGCAGTTTCATCTAGTATTTCATGTAATTTATTAACTGTATTAATTTGTTCTTGGATTGTAGCGACAAATGCATGATAAAAAGTATCTTTAGGTGTCAATGTTGGTGTGTGAGATCGAAGTTTGTATGCACAATCGAATAGTCGAATCATCGTTCGAAAACTAACGGTTTGTGGTTGTTGATGTTGATATGCGCTTGTGCAAAGATCCTTCCAAAGTTGTACAGCCAATGTAATATCTTTATCTGCAAATGAATCTCCTAATAATCTTTCGGCAATCAAAGTTATTTCATTTAATGACTCATTCATAGATTTCGATTGATTTTCATTTCCAGGTCCAATCGGTTTTAATGACGGCATGAATATAGTTATAAATCGATTCGAAAGTGCCGGTGAAAGTTCTCCACCAATACCTGCTGCCTTTGATGCATTGTCACTAGCAGGAGACATAGTCGCAATGATACCAAAATTTTTTGGTATTTTCATTGGTGATGTATCACCTTTTTCAGTTAATACCCATATAGGTGGCTGTTCTAATAAGGAATTTAATCTTTCTAATACACATGCATCTGCATCACTCAAGTTATCAAGCAGAAGTCCGGCATCATGTTCTATAGCATCAGTTACAATACCATTGCTCCAATCGACAAGATTCTTTTTGCTTGAATTATTTGTAACTGGCACAAATTGTCCAACAAGATCTGACGGATCTGTTTCTGGTGAAAATGTCAATGAAAATAATCGTTTTTGAATTAAAAGCATTAACGCTATAACGGATTCACTTTTACCACAACCAACTTCTCCAACAACTAAAATTGGCTCATTGACAGAAAATGCTGAAACCATTTGTTTCCATACTTGTTCAACTCTTCGTGTAATAACAAATACAGGTGCAGCAGACATTAATGCAGACACATCGCCGACTGTCTTTTGAGCTGTTTGTATGTCAATATTCGTTCCAAATGATGAATTGATTTGTTTATAAAATTCTGTTTGTATTACTTTGAAACGAAATCGTAAAGCATAAAATACAATACCACAAGTAGCGAAAACTTTTTCATAACTATCATCATTAGCAAGCTTAGAGAATACAGCTTCAAGCCATTGTTTTAACCAAGTTTGCTGTACGTTATATAGTCCATATTGTTCGATAAATTTAGCTTCAAAACTTTTTTGTTTTATAAAACTATGAACTTTACCGGCTATTTCTGTGAGACTTTCAAGTTTAGTCATATCTAAGTGGCTTCTTAATTTGTGAAAGTCAAATAATGTAAAAATATCTATAGCATCTTGTATACAACTACTTTCAAAGTTAATTTGTTTGTTTGGATTTCGTTGAAGACGATGAGTCGAATCAAAATCAATACAGTCATCTTTAATATTCATTGTAATTGTTGTAGTTTGATCTTGAAATAGATCGCAAACAAAGCCATTTTTTTTCATTATGTTATGAATTATTTCTCGTCCTTCCCGACGAAATCGAGCCCCATAAACTGTCCACATTTCATTTGCAAGCAGCTGCTTTCCTTCATTTGTATCAAATGGCTTCCAAATCTCTGATTTTTGAAGTAATGCAATATGTGATATTAGCCGAAGTAATTCACGAATTGATATCTCAGTATAAGGACCTATTTCTGGAAATCGCTGTTCAATTTTTTCAATTGATGAATCACTATGAACTAAAGTTTCGATAGTTATATGAAATTTTACTATTTTTTCAGCCATTTCTCTTAAACTTTCGTCTGTTTCTAACGGTTTTAAACATTTTAATCGATCAACAATAATGTCAATCCACTCATCGTCAGGTAACTTACGAAATATGACAGGAACGAAACGAGAAAGTAATGATGATGGCAAATCTTCTCTTTTACCTTTAAAAAATCCAGAATTTGGATTTTGTGTTGCAAATAATCGGAAATCAGAATGACGTGGAATAGTTTTAACTGAATTTACTTGCGATGGATCTTTTAAAGTAATTTTACCTGTGTCAAGTGAAGCGATCAATGCTTGTAATGTTTGTGATGGTGCAAGATTAATTTCATCAAGTAAAATCCAATAACCTTTTTCAAATGCAGTTGTAAATGGTTGCTTTGCCATCGTTATGCCAGAACTATTTATATTCAGTTTCCCAAAAAGGTCATCTTCTGTTGTTGTTGATGAAAGATTAAAACGAACTAAAGTTGTCCCACATAAATGTGAAGCTTCAGTAACAGTGGCTGATTTTCCCACACCTGTAGCCCCTTCTAGAAGTAGTGGTATTGGATTTTTTGCTGCTTCCAGAATGGTCAACAAATTTTCATGAGTTGTCTTCGTCATAACCAATGGTATATAATCATTTGTAGCAACTTTTGCAGATGTTAATTCATCTTGAATATTTTTCGATAGATGAGTTCGAATTGAGCCAGCGACGGTGGTTGATCGATTATCAAGTGTACCTTGAGCTTCATTTGTTAATAAATTTTCAACTTCCACGAAATTTTCTTGTTTGAAATATGATGAAACTATGAATTTACTGGTATTTTTGGTTTCATCAAGTAAAACGAATTGGGATGATGTTGAGAGTAAAGTATTTTGGTTACTATTTATTCTTTTGGTTCGTGGTGACACACCATAACTCTTCAATAAAAACTCACGTTCTTTTGGTCTCATATGGAAGGCTGAAGCAATTATTCTAACAGCAGATGTACTTATATAACATTCGTGACTATTGAGCATCTGTAAAAAGTCACCCAACTTTTTCATGGATATTTCACATACCAAAGTTCCATATTCGTTATCTTCACATAATTCTGTAACTATGTTCGTAATGGATATATAAGTAATTTCTGTTACTTTTGTTTTATCCGGAAAAGTTAAGAGATCAATGAATATGGAAATTATTTTTCTTAGATTCTCATCAAGTTTCAATTTTTTAAGTGTATCCAATACTATTTTGAAGTCATTTAAGAATGTCGTACTGCTAACAAGATGACAGAGGCCTGATTCTGTTTGTATTCGTGGAATAATGTGAGTTTGAAGAGTTTCATCGGTATGATCTTTGAGAATGGATTCTAATAATACAAATATGCCTGATACAGCTTGTCCACATTGGATTGTGGGAAGTGTATCAAATGAAAATTGGATTGCCTTTTCAACTACTTTTGTTAAATCCATCGGAAGTTCAATTTTCCGCTCTTTTATTTGGCCAACTTTCAAGCATTCTGCAAAGAGTCGAGTAAGAAACGATGCAAATTCATGAAATTTGTCTTCATCAGATTGTGTAAGCATTTCCCACACGTTCCATATTACATTTGTTTCTTTTTTCAAATTATTTTCACACTGCATCGTAGATAATAAATATTTTTCGAATTTTGAAATAGTATCAGACATTCTACTAATTTTTAATACAAGTTCTCGTTCGACATCTTTCAGAGATCTTGTTTTATAAAGATTTTCAAGAATAAACATTAGTGTACAAGATCGATCTACGTTACACATTGCATCATACAATACCGAAAATATAATTTCGTCAACATCCGCATTGGATACTTTCATAAATATATCGATCAAAAAAGTCCATTCAATACATTCTGGATGAGTCATGGAAACTTGTTGTATTAGATAAAAAAACACTTCTAATTGTTGATTTGTATTCGATTTTTCTCCATTTTCTGTAAAGCCAAATGATTTTAAGAGTTTCGAAAGATTTTCTTTTATTTCTGCATCAGTTGTATCTTTAATTATACAACGACTAAGAATAATGCTAATCATTTTTCGAAGTTCAGGTGAAGTTTTAGCACACTCAACATTGTTTACGCAGAAGCTCACTAATCCATCCAACAATATTGAAAGCCATCCTTTTTTCTGACTAATAATATCTTTTAAGATTTTGTTAAGAAATAACATAAAAGCGTCTGGTTTTCTAATTAAAATATTGAACAGATTTTCCAAACCAGAAGCAGTCAATGAAATTTGGCGTGGCAATTTTGCATGCAAAGCACGATAAACAACTTCTGATAGATTTTCACTTTCGTCTTGGTTTAGTCCAATCAAAAGGTAAGTAAGTATTGGGATAACAAGTCTTGATTCGAAACGTTGTAGACGTGCTGGAAGTTTTGATTGTAACTTTTCATCGTCCTTGAGTTCTACTAAATCATTTCGTAAATCAGACCATGAAAATTTGTATCTGGAACCCGTAATAAACTCCTTTGGTGGTACAAAAACAGGTTCATACAACATATATGAAATAAGTCCGGATAAATCTGCCGCCAAAATATTTCCAGGTGGACTTTGCCGTGCATATTTACTATGACAGCATGCTTGAACGATTTTCATAACTTTTGTATGCATTCGACCGGTTTTCGTTTCATAAACAGAATTTATCATTGTCAACATCGATCGGAAAGCATTTGTTTCAGAAGTTGGATTTAATTGAGACTCATCATCTAAATTCGAAATATGAATCAGAAAGAACGAGTCTACTGTTTGATCAAATAATTGAACTATATCAGGCTGCCATTTACGATCAACAAGTTTTGGAATGAATGCCCAATCTATTAATAAAATCAATGTCTGAAGCGCATTAGGTGCTGACCGCCGAAGGCATAATACACGATAAGTATAATCGACGATCACCTGCAACGTAGCAGCAACTCTCTGACGACTATCAAGAACTCTTGATGCATCAGTTTTAAAAATACGTTTATGAATATGTTCATCCATTTTACGATCGATTTCTTCTATACTATCTTCACTTTTGACGAGCTGAACGAATAATGAGTTTACTGTTCCATTTAAAAGTTCAACAAATTTGTCGATTTTTTGTTGATCATTCCGAGTCGGCTGAGGTTGGCCATTTGCCGATGCCATGATTGGCTTTCCTTATATTTCTTAACAACACCCTTCGTCACAACTCTTTCAATAAAATCTAAAAGCACTAAACATGTATGTCATTTCTTTTCTTTCACCAAAGACTAATGGCTGTTGCTGTCTGGGGTGTGGAGATGGTGGATATGAATGTGGAGTGTGGATGTAGGTGTGGGTAGATGTGAGAATGAGTGTGGGCTGTCACTGTGGATGTTTCGAGTGGGTGAGTATCAGAGATGTCCATCGCGGCGCTGCCGCTGCCGCTGCCGCGATGGCGGTGGCGGTAGCGGCAGCGGCAGGTTTTTTAAAAATCACCGCGGCAGCGGCGCGGTAGCGGCAGGTTTTTTAAAAATCACCGCGGCAGCGGCGCGGTAGCGGCAGGTTTTTTAAAAGACCATCGTGGCAGCGGCAGGATTTTTTTGGGGAACATTGAAAAACTGCATGAATTTAATAGAATTTCAGGGTTTATAAATGAAACACCCCTAGACTGAATGAATCTGATAGACTAGTACCAATATCTCTGGTCAAACATAGTCGCAGCAGTGAAATTAGAAACACTTTTTTTTAAACCGCCGCGGCAGCGGCGCGGCGGCGGCACGTTTATTTTATAATTCATCGCGGCAGCGGCGCGGCAACATTTTTTTATAAACCGTCGCGGCGCGGCTGCGGTGCGGCAGCTTTTTTTTTTAAGTCCGCGACGCGGCAGCGGCAGATTTTAAGCCGCGATGGACATCTCTGGTGAGTATGTGTGGGGTGCAGGTTCGCATCAGAGATAAGCACAGGACAGGACGGTCCTGCTGTCCTGTCCTGTAGGACAGGACGCGATTTTAATTTTTGTCCTGTCCTGCCGCCCGCCAGGACAGAGATTGCCAACAGGACAGGACGTGATTTTGATTTTTGTCCTGTCCTGCCGCCCGCCAGAACAAAGATAGCGATTCGAACAGGACGGAACAGAACAGAAAAATTTCTCGTGGGAACTTTCTCATTCTATTGTCATTGATATTTATTTTAAACGACTGTCATTTTCGAAGTGTTACTTTTTAACACTCGACGTATGTGGTGAGTGATAGATATCGCTATGAAAATGAGTCATAACACTAATTTAAATATTCGTTGAAAAAAAACTATCAATTAGATGTAATCATTGATGATTCAGAAATTTTCAGTCACAATGCAAAGAGAAAGCAACACGAAACAATTGTTCTTTGTGCTTTTCACCCTGAATATTTTTTATTTTACTTTGTATTTTATTTGTTTCGATTTATTGACTCTCAAAATAAATATTCAGCATGAGCATTAATAAAATTTCATCATCGTCGGACACATTAAATTCCTCAAAAACTAAACAATTACCAAAATACGAAACATATAAACATAATGTTATAAAAAAAAAATCCTCAACATCATTAAATAGGTTCGTCGAAAGTCTTTCATTATCCAGGAAAATTAGTTTAACATGATATATTTCAAAGAATGTTAGGATATATTAGTTGTTTCAATTATTATAGTACATTTATTCATGAAAATAGTTGTTTTTTGTTTTAAAAGTCAATGCTGTTGTTACTTCTCATAGGTAGTATCTAGCATACAATAAGATAATGATGTTACCATGAATCATTCATTTTTTTTGTATTTTTTTCTTGTTACGAATGTGCCATCAAGATATAAAATTAAGATTTTATTATATTTTGTTGTACTTATAAAATAAGTGATGTTCTAGAGTGTACTTCTTGTATTTGAGGATAGTAAACAATAAATTAGGCATAACGTAAATAATAATAATATTTGCTTTGATCGACGACAGGGATGTGCCCAAAGAAAAACAAAGTGAAGGGGCCTAGATATGATCCGTGTACTTCCCCTCAGGACAAATTTCTTACATTGAGATTTTAAAACAAACGTTCTAGTACAGTTTTACTATGGCCATCCACTACTTTTCAAAGAAAGAAGGGTCTGGATCCCTACCTCCCCCATCGACATATCCCTGATCAATGATAGCCAGGTTAAGGACTCTCGTGATCGACTCCATCGCTCGAAAAAATGGGATGAACTAGCAAAATAAACTAGGACAAAGTTTTTATGTATTATTCTATCATCCGTCAGGAACAAAAAGTCAGCAGAACAGGACGCGATTTTAATTTTTGTCCTGTCCTGCCGCCCGCCAGGACAGAGATTGTCAACAGGACAGGACGTGATTTTGAATTTTGTCCTGCACTGCCGCCCGCCAGGACAGAGCAGGACAGGAGGAAAAATCTTCTTCTGTGCTCATCTCTGGTTCGCATTTTGGTGTGAGCATGGATGTTTGGTGTTTATGAGTTTCGGTGAGTGTGAGTGTAAGATTGGTAAGGATGCAATAAACCTAGATGTTTGGGTTTGATATCATTGGGTTTGAGCTTGAAAACAGATTTGGGTATAAATTAGGTTTGGCTTTGGATTTTGTAGTCTAGGCTTGGACATAGATTTGGGTTTGGAAGTTTGGGACCGAAATTGGTTTGGATTTATTCATCATTGGACCAAAGTTCAAGAAATTCTATAAGATACGATGTTACAAACAACAATCTATTCTCATAGGAATAGAATAAAAGGACAAATATTTTAGAGTTTGGTCTTAAACCGTTTGTGTTTGGATTTGACTTTGGTCCTAGATGTCATAATCTTTTTCTGATTCTATTCTATTTTTAGTCATAGAATGGGGTATTTAATTTCAGTCTGAATTTATCAAATAAAAATAATACTTGATTTCAAACTGAAACGTGAGTCTAGGAGTGAGGGGGGGTGACTGAGGGTGTGGGTGTTGGCCTGGGACCCACACACACACCCACACCCATGGTGCGGGTGTGGGCGCGCGAGTGAGGGTGAGGGTGTGCTTGTGGTTTTGTGTACTATAGGCTTTAGTCCCCTGCACAAGGGACTAAGCGGGGACTAAGCTTTTTGTGGGGGGGACTAAGGGGGACTTTGCAGGACTAGGGGGGACTAAGGGTTTTTAGTGAGACTACGTAGTATCAAGCGAGAAAAGTTTGATTCGGAAGAAATTGGTGTGGTTTTTTTGATTTTAGAATTCAGTTTGAAATAAAAAAGCCCATAGACTCCTAAGATTATAGTAAATTTATTAAAATTCCTATGCAACTGTATATATGTAGTGGTGTCTCAATTTGTAGAACTTGGGGAGGAGGTCAACTACTGTTTCAAAAAATTTCTTAGAAATTTTCCTAAACTGAAAATTTTCAAAGAATTTCTCGATAAGTTTTTAAAAGTTTCTTCAGGTTCCCCTCCCCAAAAAACAATTCACTTTTCGTCAGAATCACTGAAATTGAGATAAATATATAGAGAGATAGCTTGTCATTTGGTCGTTCATAAGCGATAAAAATTTTTCTTCGGTACCTTCTTTTTTCCGAAAAATTTTCAAGATTTTCGACAGCCCCTATTCGAAAAACCAACAGTTTTTGAAAAAAATCCAAAAATTTCTTCTTTTTTCTCAAAGTTGTAGTCGAACGACGCATCTCCACCAAAAGTCAACTATAATGCGATATAAACTCAAATATTTTTTTTCTGTTTGAAAGAACATCAAAAATTGCAGTGCCTATGAGAGCCCTTGTTTTTGATAAAGCTTTGCTATTTTTATACTGATAAATAATTTTATTATACGAGCGTCATTTTTTGAGAGATTTTTAAGTGATTGAACTTGTGAATCCTTTTTTCTTCATAAAGATAAGAATTTTAAAAAAAAGGGCCCTCATAGGCACTGGATCCTGACACGCTCTTTCATATGAAAAAACAATCAACCATATTGATTGAACACCCGTAGCGATTTTTTGGAGACTCGATAAGCTATTTTTCGACTCTTACTTGGCTCGTATCTACCTCAGATATCAGAACAGGAAGCTGAGAATTTTACTACAGATGTATTTGTACACTCCCCAGATATTCTCAAAGTTTCATGCTATCTCGATGTTCTGGAGCTGAGATCGAATTTTGAGGGGGGCCTTGACAATGTTTGTAAATCGTTAAGTAAAAAAACGAAGTTTTTGAAGATTGGGATGGTCTAGGGCTACACCAATTTCCATTCTTGGAATGGGTCGAAATTAGTGTGAAATTGGCATCGCTTTGAAAGATTTCTATCTCGTATAAACACTCGCACGGTTCTCTATGCGATACTCTCAAAGCATTTTCGAATGTGAGAAAAAAATTTTTTTCGAAAATTTCCCCTGGGAGAAGTGCAAAAATTTTTTCCTCATTCGTGGTTTCGATTTGGATAAGCTTCTATTACATCCTGAAAATTATAGCGATGAGACTGGGCTTCTATTCCGAATGGGCTTCTATTCTGTGAGGGGGTTTATAGCAATTGAAATAAACCAATGTTCTTATCTCCGTACGACCAAGCTCCACGATTTTGATTATTCTTCAGAAATTTTTCATTTTATCTAGAGCCCTTACTATCTCTAAGTACGACGATTACGGCTTCAGTGTGACTTCGTCGTTTAAAGTTAACATCGCATCAGATTTTCTGTCGAATTCATGTTCTGTTTAAATCACTGCTTAACTCTAACGTCTTGAGCAGTTCGAAACAATCCCATATTTTCCATTGATCGTCCCTGAAATCTGGGTCAAAGTGATCCTCTAAGAAAATCTATCGGTCAATAGAGACTTGTATTTTACTGAATCACTACTTTGAAAATGTCCTCTTTATTTCCGTCTTTGAAGAAAAAGCTAAAGATTTAGCACTTTTTTCAAGCATTATAAAAGCACATAAGCCTCAACCTATGAGACTTTAGTCATTATTCAGAAGAATACCGATGATTTAAACACTTATTGGACAAGACAATATTCGACTAGGCTGCGTAACGCACTGCAGACTGACAGCAAACTGTTATGATTTGATTAAGGATGTCACTTTAGCTTTATTTTACTTTGAAAAAATACAATAATGTAAATTTAGAAAACATATATTTCATACAAACATGAAAAATTCAACATTATTAAATTTAACTTTACCGGACAAATAA